CATTCTGGGTCCGTTCTGGGTTGACTTGTGTGTGGTGTGAGGAGTTTCTGTTTATTTCATTCACAAAGATAAGGTTATGTGGTGAAGCTTTTTGAAATCCGTGCGTGGTGTTCGTCCTGCGTGTGGACGTCCAGTTCTCCCTGCCGTTGGCTGCAGATGCTCTTCTTTCCCTGTTGTTCTTGGCACCTTTGTCCGAAGTCAATGGACTGCAAACACGTGGGTTTATTTCTGGGGTTTCTATTCGTTGGTTTGGTTTACGTGTCTGTTTTTGTGCTAGTACTGCGTGATTTTGATTACAATAGCTTTATAATATGTTTTTAAAAACATATTTATTTGAAAGACAGTTACAGAGAGAGAGGGAGAGAGAGAGCTTCCATCTGCTGGTTTGCTCCCCATATGGGCAAAGCCAGGAGTCAGAAGCCTCATCTGGGTCTCCCACAAGGGTGACAGGAGCCCAAGCAGTTGGGCTGTCTTCTGCTGCCTTCCTGGCGCACCATCAGGGAGCCGGATCCAAAGTGGAGCAGCTGGGACATGAACTGGTGCCCACATGAGATGCCGGCGCCACAGGTGATGGCTTCACCGGTTAACGCCACCGTGCCAGCCCCTGTAAATATTTTAAAATCAGAGAGTGTGATACTTCCAGTCTGTTTTTTCCCCCCTGAGATTTTTTTGGCTTGTTTGGGGTCTTTTGTGATTCCATAGAAATTTAAGGGGCTGTTTTTTTCAATTTCTGTGAGAAATGGTATTGGAATTTTGGTAGGGATTATGTTGGATCTGAGATTACTTGAGGTTGCATGGACATCTTAACCATAATTTTGAATTAATTAATTATTCCAATCCATGAACAGAGATAGTTTTCCGTATTCAATTTCTTTCATCAGTTTTGGATAGTTTTCAGTACGTAGGCCTTTCATCTCCTTGGTTAAGTTTACCTCAAAGTATTTTTCTTGTTGCCATTGTGAGTGAGGTTGTTTATAGATTTCCTTTGTTGGTAATTCATCACTAGTGTACGTATGCACTTCAAAAGGTTCATGAAAAATGGAGTTAAAATACAAGTTTATTTTGTGAACAACTTTTTGAAATCCATGCATATTTTTGTCATAATAAACATTTTTCATGGGCCGGCGCCGCGGCTCAATAGGTTAATCCTCCGCTGCAGCGCTGGCACCCTGGGTTCTAGTCCAGGTCGGGGCACCGGGTTCTAGTCCTGGTTGCTCCTCTTCCAGTACAGCTCTCTGCCATGGCCTGGGAGTGCACTGGAGGATGGCCCAAGTGCTTGGGCCCTGCACCTGCATGAGAGACCAGGAGGAAGCACCTGGCTCCTGGCTTTGGATTGGCGAAGCGCGCTGGCCATAGCGGCCATTTGGAGTGAACCAACGGAAGGAAAATCTTTCTTTCTGTCTCTCTCTCACTAACTCTGCCTGTGAAAAATTTTTTTTCATGAATTTTTTGAAGACTTCTTGTGTGTATATTCCATTTTTAAACATGTTGACACTCTCTCTGTAGGTGACACAATCTTGAACATAGAAAAAATCCTAAAGAATCCACAAAGAACTACTGGAACTAATAAATGAGTTCAACAAGATTGCATGGTACAAAATCAATATAAAAAATCAATGTGTTCCTAAACAGTGGCAGTGAGCCATCTAAACTTGAATCTAAAAAATTTCATGTCCAATAGCATCAAAAGAGAATAAAATGGAACGAAGGGCTGGACGTTGAGCCTCGTGGCCCAGATGCCTGTATGTCATGTTGGGGTGCTTGCGTTGCATTCTCGCCTCTGGCCCCTCGTTTCGGCATCTTGCCAATGGACAGCCCAGGAGGCAGTGCTGATGGTCAAGTGCCTGGGTTTCTGTCACCTGTGTGTGAGAACGGGATTGAATTCCTGGCTCCTGGGTTCAGTCCCAGCCATTGCAAGCACTTGTGGTGTGAACCATTGGATGGGAACTCTGTTTCTCTCTCTGCCTCTCAAATAAATAAATAAATAAAAAGTAGTACATTTCTAAGACTTGACTCAGTGAAGTTTATAGTTCTTTTTTTTTTTTTTTGAGAAATTAAGAAACTGATCCAGAAATTCATATGGAAATGCAAGAGACCTAGAACAGTGAAAGAAAACTCTTAAAAAGCAGCAGAGCTGACGGGGCTGGCACTGTGGTGGAGTGGGTTAATCCTCCACCTGCAGTGCTGGCATCCCATATGGGCGCTGGCTCTAGTCCTGATTGCTCTTCTTCTGATACAGCTCTCTGCTGTGGCCTGGGAAAGCAGTGGAGGATGGCCCCAGTGCTGGGGCCCCTGCACCTGCGTGGGAGACCTGGAAGAAGTTCCTGGCTTCTGGCTTTGGATTGGCGCAGCTCCGACTATATAGTGGCCATCTGGGGGAGTGAACGAGCAAATGGAAGACCTTTCTCCCTGTCTCTCCTTCTCACTGTCTGTAACTCTACCTCTCAGATAAATAAATAAAAAATATCTTTAAAAAGAACCAAAACAACAGAGCTGAAAGACTCACATGCTTAATTCAAAACTTGACACCGAGCTGCCATGGTGATGACAGCGTGGCCCTGGCGTAAGGACAGGCACACAGGTCAGTGGGGCAGAGTGAAGAGTTGGAAGACAAGCCCTTACATCTGTGGTCGCTGGAGTCTTGACTAGGGCGTGAGACAAACAAGTTGAGGATAGAATACTCTTGTGTTTTATTTGTCAAACAAATGGTACTGGGACAAGTGTGCTTTACCACTGAAAGAATTCAGGGGCAGGCACTGTAGAGTAGCTGCCACTTGTGACTCCCTCTCGTGTCCCATCTTGGAGTGCCACACGTTCGAGTCCAGGCTAGCCAGCTTCCCATCCAGCTTCCTGTAAAGTGGCTCAAGTACTTGGGCTCCTGCTACCCTTATGGGAGAGCTGAATGCGATTCCACACTTCTGGCTTTGGCCTGGCCTAGCCCTGGCTTCTGTGGCCATTTGACGAGTGAACCAGTGATTGGAAGATCTCTCTTTGTCTTTCAAGTCAATGAGAATAAATAAAAACCAAGAATTCATAATGAAAAAATGAATTTATACTTCTACCTTACAACATACACAAAAATTAACTCCAAATGAATTATAGACTTAAATGCAAGAGCTAAAATCATAAAACTCTTAGAAGCTTTGTGACCTTAGATTAGGCAGTATATCTTAGGTATGACACCAAGAACCCTAGCTACAAAATGAAAAATAAATTGGACGTCATCAAAATTAAAAACTTTTGAAAAAGATTTATTTATTTATTTGAAAGAGTTACAGAGAGTGAAGGAGAGACAGGGAAATGGAGAGAGAGGTCTTCCATCTGCTGGTTCACTACCCCAGTGGCTGCAATGGCCAAGGCTGGGCCAGGCCGAAGCCAGGAGCCAGGAGCCAGGAGCCAGGAGCTTTTTCTTGGTCTCCCACATGGGTGGCAGGAGCCCAAGCACTTGGGCCATCTTCCGCTGCTTTCCCAGGCCGTTGGCAGGGAGCTGGATTGGAGGTAGAATAGCCAGGACTTGGACCAGGGCTCACACGGGATGCCGACGTTGCAGGCAGTGACCCAATCCACTGCAACAAACGCCAACACCTAAAAGCTTTTTTAATCAAGAAGTGAAAATATACAACCTTATAACATGGGTGAAAACATTTTTAAATTGTATATATTACAAGGGACCCATATCTAGAATATGTAAAGAACTCTTAAAACTTAATAATAAAAAAGATAAATAACCAATTAAAATATGGGCAAAGGAACTAAATGGACATTTCTTCAAAGAAGATATGTGAATGGCCATAGGTATATGAAGCACTGCTGTGCATCATTAGCTATGGAAATGCACAGCAAAACCAGAATGAGATTCCGCTTCATACTCAGTAGATGGGCTACAGACAGTAACGTGTGAGCAGACTGGGACTCTCATGTATCGCTGGGGACACTGAAACATGCCTCCAGTTTGGAAAATAGTCTCGTAGTTCCTTGAAAGATTAACCATGGAGTTACCAAATGGTCTAGGAATTCCACTATTTTATTTTTTAATTTTTTAAGATTTATTTATTTGAAAGAATTACAAGAGAGCGGGGATGGAAGGAGAGAGAGAGTGATTGATTTTGATTTTCCATCTGCTGGTTTATTCTCCAAGCGGCTGCAAGGGCCAGGGCTAGGCCAGGCCGAAGCGAGGGGCTTCATCTGGGTCTCCCATGTGGGTGCAGGGGTCTAAGCACTGGGCCATCTTCCGCTGCTTTTTCCAAGCCCTTAGCAGAGAGCTGGATCTGCAGTAGAGCAGATGGAGCATGTATGGGGCCCATGTGGGATGCCAGCACTGCATGCAGCAGCTTTACTGGCTATACCACAATTTTTTCTCTAGAAATTCTACTTTTTTTTTTTTTTTTTTATGAGGCAGAGTTACAGAGAGAGACAGAGAGAAAGGTCTTCCTTCCGTTGGTTCACCCCCGAAATGGCCGCTATGGCCAGCGCGCTGCACCGATCCAAAGCAATGAGCCAGGTGCTTCTCCTGGTCTCCCATGGGGTGCAGGGCCCAAGCACTTGGGCCATCCTCCACTGCACTCCCGGGCCACAGCAGAGAGCTGGACTGGAAGAGGAGCAACCGGGATGGAATCCGGTGCCCCGACTGGGACTAGAACCCGGGGTGCCAGCACCACAGGCAGAGGATTAGCCTAGTGAGCCACAGCGTCGGCCCCAGAAATTCCAAGGGTGCCAGTGCTGTGCCGCAGCAGGTAAAGCTGCCACTTGGAGTGCCAGCATCCCATATGGGCACTGGTTCGAGTCCTGGCTGCTCCACTTCCAATCCAGCTTT